ACTGGTTTTTTACTGGTATCTCCTGTAGACTAGTGTTTTCAAACTTCATCATGCATTGAATCACCTAAGGCGCTTGTTAAAACATTTGTCACTGGGTTCTATCCCCAAAGTTCTTGATTGAGGAGATCTGAGGTGGTGCCAGAGAATTTGCTGGTGATGCTGTTGCTGCTTGGTCTGAGGACCACTACTCTAGGAAATCTGATCATAAGTCGCAGACAAAAGACAACTGCTCACTTCATGAAGTTAAAATGCTAAAATACAGAAAATATACGCACAAAAAACACAACTACCAAAAACATGAAAAAGTATAGGAAACTCTTACAAGGGAATTGAACTGTCCACTTGACACTATTTAAAATAGAAGTACTCACCTGTCTTTGTTCACTCTTCCTTTTTCTATGTTTCTTCACTTCAACTAGATTGAACGCAGGTACATATCATATATAGAGTTCTTACCCTCCCTAGTGTGCTTGCTATATAGTAGGCATATTCAATAAATGTTGTTAAATAGTTGACCAGTCATTATAAATAGTATAACTTCATAGAATAGTTTTCTTTTGATTTAACAAATCATCCTAAGTCCCACAACTTTGCCCATGTTGATCTAACTTATGATGTTAAGTTACCCTGCTGAATAACATTACATAAGCAATATAACTAGCTCTGCTTGACTTGGCTGCTAGGATACTCAGAGACAAGCTGCTTTGGAATTTCTCAGCTGGGTGTACTTGTTTTCTGTCTGCTTTTAAAATATTCTCAGTTTGGGTATTTTGTAAATATTCTTGTACTCCTCATCACTATTTTTCCTACTTGGTTCTTGCATTTTATTTCTTTTAAGAATACTTGATCTAATTGTAATTGTTCTTTTATTGTAAGCTTATTTACATCTTTTTATTAAAAGACACAATTGTTTAATATCAAGCATTTGTGTATACATGTATCCATTCTATGTAATATGGGTGTATATATACATATATTTAATATATAATGAAACATAAAGTTCCAGTATTGGAAGTCTCACCTTCATTGGTGTTAGACTGCAGCCAATGTCAGGAAAAATGTGTCACATTTGGCTCAGTAATATGAGTGGTTTAAAGGGTGGGGAAAAATGCCAGAGGAAGTCAGGAGAGCAAAAAAAAAAAAAAAAAGAAACCAGATAAACGAAAAACACCTCTTTGCATGACCTTGATGAATTGAAACTCATGTTGACAGTTTCTAAGTGTAAAATAAAAACTCTCAGCCTGTTGGTAATGCTCTTGTAATACAAGCAAAAAAGTATGTCTCCAGGGTTGAAGATTTGGTCACTGTCAAGAAAAATGACTTAGAAATTTTAATTTTATTTTTCTACACTTCTCATTTTTTATAGCAAATCTGCCTTTTTATTACCATGAGGAAACTGAGTACGAGTTTGAAAGCAAATAAATAAAACAGGTCATAGAAATCTAAAAGTAGCCCTCCTCTATCTATATCCTAACAACTGGATTCTGAAGTGATGCTAAGACAGCAACCTCCACACTAACAAAGGTAGCCCATGCGGGAAGAAATTGCCTACCTAAAGTTTACTAAATGATGAGGTTAACTAAATAGAAAAGCATTTGGAATCACTTCTTAGGTATATCGATAATTGATTCTGTTTTTCTTTCTTTCTAAATTTCCCTTTCCTCTTCTTGGAGCTTTGGTGGCACAGTGGTTAAGAGCTTTGTTGCTAACCAAAATGTCAGCAGTTTGAATCCGCCAGCTGCTCCTTGGAAATCATTTGGGGCAGTTCTACTCTGTATTATATGGCGGCTATGAGTCATAATCAACTCCACGACAATGGGTTTGGTTTCGGTTCCTCTTCTTGTTTTTACACTTTTCTGTGAAGGCAATATGATTATGCATGGAAACCAGTATGATATGCTTCAAATTTTTCAATAATGAAGGGCATTCTAAAGTTTTCTGTTCTCTATCTCCCTTTTTCAGCTGCTTCACTCTGTCACTCTCTCCAACCCCCTGGGCACTCCCACTGACTGCTCCAGAGTACTTGCTGGGCCTTCTCACTTCTTGTTCCTTCTTTCCTTGTAACCACTACCACCAGTTTGGGCCATCTTTTCTTGAAGATTTCACCTATTCCTCCAAAAGTGATTTGTACACACTTATGTTAGTGCCTACTTCTCTGCAGTATACTTGATACCGTAATTATTTGTGTAGTCCACCTCCAGTAGACTCCACTTCTTAAGGGAAGGAACGATAACTTGCTCCTTTTTGAAGTCTTCATGGCTAGCATATGGAAGGTACAATACAAATCTGAGGTGGTCAAGGAGACAGGGATAAGGTTGTCTTATTTCTTTGCCTTATTTATATTGCTTAGCCTGGGTTGCTCTTTAAAAATACTTTTCTCTTAAAAAGTAAGCTAAAAAGTAATTATAATAATTTACTCTTACGTAGTTTTATTTAACATTTCTCTACGTATAGTTTATCGTGTAAATACAATGTAAACCACTGATTCTAAGAAAGAATACCAGAAAGTCCACTGATTTTATTTAGTATATGTTTGTGATTAGAAATGAATATGTATATTTTAATGGTTGTCTTGGAAACTCATTTATTTAGGAGAATGGTATTTTATCAGTTATATCTCCTAGGTATAAAAAACTACTGAAAAGATGTTGCCCACGTAAAATTCCCAATCTTCTCCTCTTTTTGAAGAGCAACATTATTTCCCAAATGTGCGTATAGGATAAATTATTTATTCAGGATATAAGCCTTTTGGATATTTAAAATGAAAAAAAAATTACAGAACTGTGAAGATCTAAAAATCAGATATTGAGTGGTAACCATAATTTATTTCCCAGTTTTTAAACCACTATATCTATCTGAACTGACTCACATTAAGATGGGGGGGCAGGGTATCATCTGGATTTTTAAATACTGTGCATTCTGGATACTTACAAAAAAATTATGGCCAGTGATCTTCGTGAAATTTTCACCTAGCAACCTCAAGTGTCCTGTTTCAGAACTTTGAAACTCTTTGCAAATGTTACCTGATGTGACCTGTGCTAACTCCACAAGCACCTTTGTTGTCATCCATTGCATATTTTTATTTGCTTAAGAAACACTGGGGCTTTCTGTTGGCTTGAGAAATGCAGTTATTATTCTAGTCAACTCCAAAGAGAGTTTTGCAAGATCCAGTCCTATGGCATGGAAACATCTCTTAATTTTTCTAGCCCTTTTAATGTGTTAACAGCAAAACAAAACCAAAACCCCCACTGTTCATGGTCATAGGACTCATTTAAACCACTTTCAGTTGGCCATAAGATTATCTTGAAGTGTTTAATACTGGGCCAAGAATTGGCAAGTATTAAGTAGGCTTAATAGTTGGACCTGCGCAAGAGAGAAAATTGAAGGTTGTATATGTGTATGCATGTGTGTGTGTGGTGTGTGTGGTGTGTGTGTGTGTGCGTGTGTGTGGGGAGTGATTATAAGGATTGGAGGAGGAGATGGAAACATTGTCTGTTTCTTTAGTAGGCCCTCAAATTTTATCTTTGAATGTTGGGATCTTTGCTTATTCAGCATTGAACTAATGGATAGCATCAGTAAAGAAATGTGTCAGACCTGGTGTTATATCAGGAGTTATATAGGAAAATAGTAATGAACCCTAGGAAAATAAATAAGGATAAGTTCAGGAAACATAACTGAAAGTGCTGCACTGGTATAAATTGAATAATAAAATTCCTAGTCGTATTTTGCCATAAATAGAGGTTTGGGAATTTGTCATTCACCTTATTTAAAATTCAGAAATATTAAAGGTACAGGGTTCTCTCATTACAGAAATAATAGAATTCCAGCTATTACTCAGTTAGGGTCATAAATGGCGATAGCATGCATTATATCAGTAAGTGGAACATCTGTATAAAATGTCCACCTGCTGATCTACTACACCCACTCCTCGCGCATTCCAATGAACTGCACTTAATCATTTTAAGACTTCTTCTAATGAAGCCTTATCTGGATTAACATTTTAAGCACAAATACTTTTAGGCATTAAAACTCTTGCACTAAATGAAATTGCATTGTCTTGTTTACCCTTGTTGATTAACAAGCAATCTGTTAACTGTTAGAACAGTCCAATTGTGGCAGTAGAAAGAGATTAGTAATTCAGTGATGTTTGTGGATATAATCATCATTTCTCCTGAAGGCCTTGAATTAGAATATCACTTACACAATATCCGTAGGCAAAGAAAGGATATAATATTTTTAGACATGTGTACCCACTATTTTGCTCAAATTGTTCAGCTTAGGGTCACTGCAGCAATACAAATGCTTCTAAGGGCAAAATGTTATTTTGATGCATGAATATCTGTCGTAAATAGTGCGAATGTCTATTAAAAGAAGCACAGCAACCAGCAAATAGTGCAGTAATAATCCAGTATCTTAATTTCTCTTTTCAGAATATTATTGCTTTGTTAATCAAGCTTCCAAGAGAAATACTGCCCATCTTTTTTTTTTTTCCAGATAATAGATTTTATATATCAAAATTCTTTGCAATCTTATGAAACTTATTTCCAGTCAGTGGAAAACTGAACTTTATAGAAATAAAGTTTATAGAAGGAATATAGAAATGAATTTGAAAAAACTCCATTTTTTTTGGAGGACTTTTCTATATTTTGTGTTTTTTGTGACCTTGAATTAAAGCCTGTGTGCTTATTATCATATGACCTAAATGATTTACTTCATTAGATTATAAATTGTTAATTACTTAGGTGTCAAGGAAGAACCCTACATTTCAGAGGGAGAAATCACTGAAAAAGGGTGGAGGAATGGGATGCATTAAGTTCTTTTGCATAGTTGGGTATCTATAAAAGGCCTCTAATCTAAAGAAGACCCCAGGTCCTTTCTTGTTCTGTTGTTCCTAGCCGAGCAATCAGTACAGTTTAGGATTATGTTGGAAGAGGGTACTTCATCTTTGAGGGAACTGTGCCCTCTGAATGCTCATGGGTCGGTTCCTCCCTGTGTTGCAGTCCCTCTGCAATGAAATCAAGCAGCGACGTCGTGGAGTAGCCTCCATTCTGCGATTATGCCAGCATCTTCTGGATGACCGAGAGACCTGTAATCTGAACGCAGACCACCAGCCCATGCAGCTGATCATTGTAAATCTTGAAAGAAGATGGGAAGCCATTGTCATGCAAGCTGTCCAGTGGCAAACGCGGCTACAAAAGAAGTTGGGAAAGGAGTCTGTGAGTGATTTTTTTTTTTAAAGCATAATTATCTGTCACATTTCCCAGAAAGAAAAAATTCTTTCAGGGCTTAGTTTCCCTAACTAAAGGGGTAGCTATCTAAAACCATTAAGTGAAACTTTGTCATAACACAGAGATTTATTTGCCTTACTAATAAGATGCATGTTAGTGTATCGCATTGGCTTTTTAAAAAATCACATGGAAATTTTGCTTTACCTTACCACATTAAACCATTACTTCTTTTAATCATTCCTTCACCAACGATATTCATTAATCATACAATACCCCATAGATATTTTGCTAGAAGGTGTCTTAATACCGTCAGAGCATATGGAGCAATGTATATGTACTGCAAATACAGCAATGAAATAAAGCATACTGATTACTTTCCATTACATGATAAGACTTAACACTGTCCATTTGTACACAAGTCCTCCATTGTTCCTGCCTGTAGTGCATTGTGACAGCATGACATTGCTGAGAAGTGGCAAGATTCCTGTTGGAGTTTTAAGGCAACATTAAGGGGGGCGGAGGGGTGGGGAGAGTGATCCTTTTTAAGGAGTTCCCAAGTTGATTAAGTTCTAACTGTTGCTAGATGAAGAAAATACATGTGACTAGAAAGTTGTCTTGTTATAGTATAGATCGTATACTTGTCCAGTAAATACTTTCACCTCCTTAAGGGAATGAATTTATCAATAAAAAGATCACATACCCAAACTGACCTTGAGCTCAGTGTCTGTTAATTGAAGTTCTGATGCTCATGTTTTACTTACATAAACGAAATCCATCCATCCATCCACCCATACAATAGAAAGTTCTTTTATATATTTACATTGTCAGTTCTATCTCTTCAGAATCGAAAAACCAAATCTAAAAAATCTTGCCACTGAAAAACGGCTCCTCCTACTAATGCTAATTTTAACAAAGCTCTGCTATTTGCTATCTGGTGTGTTTGGCATTGAGGGTTGGGAACAGAAGGGACAATGAATCTGTAAGCTTTCTTGCTCGTTTTGCATCTGTAGCTGTGTTGAGTCCAGGGGTTGATTTTATCCTCATCAGTTCTGTTTAATTGTTTTAAGCTGAAGTTGTTAAATTTCATAAGACTTTCATTACCAGTAATCAGAGTCTATATAATTGGATGTCTTTTCTTGAAATGACCTGTTGTGAAGCTATTTAGCTGGAATAACCCCCACCCCCTTTGTATTTTATTTTGTTTGAGAGTGTTTGGAAGGTTATTTTTTCCTATAGTGTGAAACCTCTAAATGTAGTAGTAGCCATAATAAGATTTACACAAAAACCAACCGCAACTTAAGAAGTTCTGACATTTAGGAAGCACACAAGCTGCTTTGAAGGAGACAAAACTGGATTCCTATTGGGATTTATTTGAAATCAGATGATCAGGGATGCTGGACTAGATCTCTTCAGACTAGATGCAGACATTTTTATCCTGCTTCTGCAGTAAAGGTAAGCTTTAGCTTTGAGAAACCCTGAATGCTATAGAGGCAGATATAAATTACAGATACAGGAAAGTCTCTATTTTTCTTTGGATTGGCTGCTGAGTGTGTAGGTTATTTGGAATAATTAAGGTAGCAAATAAGGTCCTCTGGGACAAACAAGGTTGAAAATAACTGTCAGGAAAGGGATTGAAGAGTAGGGAGTAGCATTAATATAAGCAATGCAACAAGCACAGGATACATCCGTTGGAGATAGTCAGAGATATTTCTGTGTTTCGGATCTCTGTTGGTTGGGTAAAGAGTCCAACTTGCTTTGATAGACGGACTAGTATTTCACCAGTGTGGGAGGCTGCCTTGCATAGAATCAGAAGCCTCTAAGTGAACTGTTTCTTTATTGTATATTCTCACCCAAATCCCGTCCCCTGCTTGCGTGCAGAAACTTAGCTTTATTCACTGTTATCGGGGCCCTGGTGGCACAGTGGTTAAGTGTTTAGCTGCTAACCAAAAGTCAGCAGTTCGAACCCACCAGCCGCTGCTTGGAAACCCTATGGGGCAGTTCTACTCTGACCTATGAGTCGGAATCGACTCCACAACAATGGGTTTGGTTTTTGGTTTATATCCTCCGGGCCAGGATAATACTTGGCACACGGTAAGTGTTTGATAAATATTTGTCAAATGAATGAATACATCCTTTCGTTTAATAAATTTTGTTTCATTCTGATTTTGGTTTGGAGTTACTCTATCTATATTAATTCTAAATTTTTATATTCTCACAAAGCGTCTTTAAGTGGTATGTGTTTCTATAAGAATATTTCACCATAAGACCACCAAGAAGATGCCCTTTAACCTTTTTTTTTTGTTCAGTAGGGATAATGTTTCCAAGTTATAAAACATGATATGAAGTACCCTATGGTATGCTCTTCTTTTTTCAGAAGTCATTGCTGAAGGAAATTCTGTATGAGATGTTGGGTAAAGTAGTTCTAAAAATGTTGGCTGATTTTTGACATTTAGAATGAGAGGTTCTGCTTCTAGCTCTGTGTTATAGCATTTTCTTCTTGAGTCATTTTGGAAATAGCTTGTGCAGAAAGTGATACCTACTCATTCCATCCAGTGTTCCTCATTTTCAGTTTACATCTGTTTGTGTGATGATTTGATTACTGTTTGTCTTCTCCACTGGTCTGAAGCTCCAGGAGAGCAGTCATGCAGCCAGTTTCTGTTCACCGTTGCATTCCCAAACCCCACATAGTACCTAGAACTTAATAGGTTCTCCATAATATTTCTAAATAAGTGAGTTTTTTAAAGTGATGCTTTCTAGTAGTCACTGTTGGAGATTCAGGGGTGAATATATTTTTGTCCTTAAAAAATTTAGTTAGATAAGACAAATATGAAATAACCATAATAGTGGGTAATATTCAGAGATAATTGCTGACTTAAAACTTACAGTTAATAGTGACGAAAATATGGAAAATCTTTCCATAATATTGAGAAAAATTCAGCTAAGTGTATAAATGTAATTAAATAAGATTCCCTATATAAAAACTCAAAATTATCTCTAACTAGGTAAATAATGAATATATTTATCTCTTTTTAAAATTTGAAAGAAAGCAAGACAATTTGCATTAAATTTCAGGAGGTGAAACAGACAGAGCCCGAAGCATCTTTCTTCCCTTTCATCGATATTTGAAATTGCATAATTATTTGACGCTATATTTTGTTGTTCCCACATTCAAGCTCTTTGTCCAGACTTATTTATATTCCTTTGTGTTACCTGTAACATCAATCTCTGTCTATAATTTTCAAACTTTAATTTTAATTTTCACTGGAATCACAAGTTTTTGCTTACTCCTTGTCTCCTGCCTTCTTTGAGAGGCAAAGAAGCTTGAACCTCTGTTCCTTTGGCTCTTCTCTGTGTTAGGTCTCACATGTTTGCTGACAATTCCTGTATTATAATCTTAAACTACCCCATCTGCCAAAATAGCATTCTGAATTTATGATATAATTATTATAGAGAACCTGGGTTTTTGTTATTTTTATCAGCTTAAATTTCACTTCCTGTAATACAAGCAAGTGAAAATTTATGAGACAATCCATAGTAACAACAATAATCCCTAATAATAATCTATAAATCCACTCAGAATAGTGTCTCTTAATCCTTTGTGGAGAGGAGATAACTCTTTGATGAAATCTATGGACCTACTTCTTCTAAAATACATAGGCAGACTTCCACCATCACCCTAGACAGAGTAAGGAATGACATTTATCCTCCCACCTGAAATGATTAAAAACTGAATAAAATGTAATAAACCACAGCTTTCAAGACATTGAACACCAGGCAACAAAGAGATGGGAAACAAGTGAAGTAACAACTATGATTACCCATTTTTCTGCCTGAAGTAAATTTCCAGGTCACAGTACACAAAGGAGAAATCCATTCAGAGGCTGGCAGTCTCCCCGAGTTGAGGAGACAGGGCTGGGAGTCTGGGGAAGCCAAGTGGCATGGTTTGCTAGAAGACAGTACTAGAGAGGAGAGAGCTTCAAAGAGAAAGAGAGAGAGAGCTTGGGAGATATGCAGAGGGACCCTCTCAAGTCATCAACAGAAACAACCACCCAAAAAGATTAGAGGAAACAATCCTTGGAGCTCACACAGGGCTAGGATTATTTCCCTATCCCACCAGTCATGGTGGAAAAACTTATAATTCATAGAGCATGGGATAGAGTACTAAGAAGGGTTTTGCCTCAGTTGTTGTTGTTAGGTGCTGTCGAGTTGGTCCCGACTCATCACAACCCTATGTACAGAAGAACGAAACAATGCCGGGTCCTGCACCATCCTCACAATCGTTGTTATGCTTGAGCCCATCGTTGCAGCCACTGTGTCAGTCCATCTCGTTGCGGGTCTTCCTCTTTTCCAATGACCAAGCATGATGTCCTTCTCCAGGGGCTGGTCTCTCCTGATAACATGTCCAAAGTATGTGAGACAAAATCTTGCCATCCTTGCTTCTAATGAGCATTCTGGCTGTATTTATTCCAAAATGATTTGTTCATTCTTCTGGCAGTCCATGGTATATTCAATATTCTTCTCCAACACCATAATTCAAAAGCATCAATTCTTCTATCGTCCTTATTCCTTGTCCAGCTTTCACATGCATCTGAGATGACTGAGAACACCTTCAAGTGATATCTTTGCTTTTTAACACTTTAAAGAGATCTTTTGCAGCATATTTGCCCACTGTAACCTGTTGTCTGATTTCTTGACTGCTGCTTCCATGGATGTTGATTGTGGATCCTAGTCAAATGAAATCCTTTACAACTTCAACCTTTTCTCCGTATATCATGATGTTGCTTATTGGTCCAGTTGTGAAGATTTTTGTTTTCTCTATGTTGAGGTATAATCCATACTGAAGGCTGTAGTCTTTGATCTTCATCAGTAAATGCTTCAAGTCCTCTTCACTTTCAGCAAGCAAAGTTGTGTCATATCTGCATAATGCAGCTTGTTAATGAGCCTTCCTCTAATCCTGATGCTCGTTCTTCTTCATATAGTCCAGCTTC